ACCCTTCCATATCAGTTATCTCCCATAACTCAACTGTAGCCAGGTGTGAACTCACAACTCTGTGTCAACAGTGCATGAAATTTTGGGACTTATAAACTTAATATCTCAGTATCCATTTTACCAGAGCTCATAAAATAATTTTTCTCTAGCATTCCATATTACTGGTTCCTATATTCTATTCATTTATATGCTCGGCCTGCTCAGAGATTTTTGTGGCCTTACATATGCATTGATTCCTTAACTTTGTCTTTTCCAGTGATGTTCTGTCTTTTACTTCACTGCCCCCTGTGGGATGTGGTTGATCTCCCCTTTTCCCTCCATATGTGGTCAGCTATACCTGATTTTTCTATCCCCCCTCCCATGTTACAACTTTACAGTGTTCCTGAAGTCTTAGCCTGTTTCTCCTTTATATTTCTTATCACACTTGCACGGGATGGTATAAACAGAGTCCTTAATCATGTTTTTCCTCTGAGAGGTCTTACTTAGAAGACATGTCTAAAGTGTTGAACCACTTTTGGCAATGAAGATGACAACAGTCCGAACAATGTAAATATTTTTTTCTCTCTATCTCCTTCCTTCACAGATTATTCCATGAAACACTTGCTGGCATACAATGCAGTATTTTTTTTTTCTCTCTCTTATAATATTTGAAGACAGATCAAGTTCAATGGAAATTATTAATGCACAAGACGTGTATGTAACGGATGTTAGAGAATGAAAATAAAATTGGAAATTATAAGTATTTTCTTAAATTAGTTTGCTACAGATTCAAATTCCCTGAATGTTGAAGTAAAATGTAATCCAATTACGGCAAATATACCCCAGTAATCTGGTTGAAGTATCTTGGAATGTAAAATTTCTGGTTTATTTAAACAAATTCTCTGTTTCTCTACTGCTCAGCTGGCAGTGGGAAGAATATTTGCTGTCATCTTAGAGGCAGGAATTCTTACTTTACAAGAGGGGAAAGCAAGTGGCAGATTTTATTTTAACGAATTAAAAAAAAATCATAGCACTAAATTTTTCTCTAAAGTCAAGGGTGTATTAATTTTGGTCAAGTGCTCATTCAAAAATATTTTATTGTAATCAACTGACGATATCTGTTTCATTTTTATTACATTTTCTAGCTTGCAAATACACCATTGTGTGTCCAGATCAAATTTTTAATTATTAAATTCAATAAGCAGTGATAAAGAAAAAACATGTTAAGTGGGTGCTAAAATGTTCTCAAAGAAGACTATTTTTAAAAACCATGCGGCTGGGAACATTTCAGCATTTATGTATATATATATATATATATATATATATATATATATATATATATATATATATATATAAAATAAATTAATTGATTGTTCAAGAATTTTAGAATTCTGAACCTCTCCTCTTCAAAATTCTTAAAAGAAATAAGCAACATATTAGCAATCTCTTATTATGGCAATAATTCTGAAAAGACTTTGTTACCATAATAAGGGGAGATCATATGTAAAACAAATGTAATAATAAAGAATTGACAAAATAGGAAATTATTATTTTTATTTTTCAACACATGCATATTCTGTTTTAGGTTTTTCTTCTTTATGAGGTCATGCCCAAGTGAGTTTCTGCTGAATTCTGTACCCCAAAAAGAATCAGAATATAACAGTGAGGACTTTGGGGCAGGGGTTTGCTCCAAATGTCTTTCAAAAGTTTTTCTTTTGCTGTGTTGAATATAGCTTGTATGTCCCAAGCTCTCGGCTCTTGTTCAAGGTACATCAGAATGAGAATTAGATTTTGGCCAACTGACCATACAACAACAAATACTTAAGCTTTATCCTCATAAGCTGTTCACGCAAATGCGCTCGATCAAGTTGAACCATTATGAAATTAAAATAGGCAGTTGGATAAACTGAAAAGAAAAATGAAATGAAAGAAAAAGAAACTTGTTGATGTATTAAAAAATGGCAGTGATTTTTTTTATTTATTTCTTATGAGGTGTTAAGCAGAAAGTTGAAGAAAAAAAAAATGTATTGTGTACTTCAGAAGGCCAGTTTTTTCATGAGAAGATAAACATGGGAGTCAACTTCAAAACCGTGCAGATTGTTAGCATCTCCTTGCAACCGCATCAAAAGGCCCCCAAAAGAGACGTAAGCAGACCTGAAAAGAAAAGAAAATAGAATTAAGATGGAAGACAAAACAAAAAGGACTTATAAGAAACTCCCTCATGTCAGAATTTAGTTTAGAATTATTTAATTAGTGGAACTAAATCATTTGTCAAGGGACAGAGAACAAAGATGAAGATACTAATCCAAAATTTGAAACTTATTGCTAAGTCTTCAACTTGGCAAAAAAATGTTTCAATGTTGTGAGCTGGGCATAAAAAAAAAAAAAAAATGCACAAAATTAAGTCAATATCTTTGAAGGTCAACTTGAACTTCAATTATGATAGTTACAAAAGAATTCTTAACCCTCCTAAAGCAAAAAGAAAAGATTTATTAAGGAATAAATTTCTTGCCCTGTAAATAATTGTTTTACTGAGAAAAATCGACAAATGCAACAAGTATATTTAAAAAGTCCATATTTAATAGATCTATGTGTGTGTGTGTGTGTGCATGCATGAACATGTTGGCTCACACCCATTCAAAACATTGACAGTAACAAGTTTTAATGGTTATTGATTTGCCAGCCCCATTTTATTTTCTATGCTAATAACAATTGCCAATGCATATTTATTAATCAAATATTAATCACATACATAGCAGAACATGACTCAAAGTAAAGTTAAAACTCCCCTGACCTTCCAATTTGGCAATCCTACAATGATGCATTAACGTCCCACCTGAGGATCACCTCCACCAAGTCTGTTTTTATCAGAAAATAAATCTAAAAAGCAGACAGTAAACTGAAACCTTGAACTAAGTGCAGAGATGAATTTTTTAAGAATGCTGGAAAATAAACAACGAAATATCAAAAAGTTGTCGAAAGAAGAAAAAAAAATCATTCATGAAGGCACTTGCAAGAGAATAAGCAAGCAAGCTATTGATAGTAAGTATGATTCCTACAGTTTCTTAATTTTGCAGACTAAAAATACTAAATAACTGATATAAACTTGTGCTGGCCTTGTACCAGATTAAATACCAATATTATTCAATTTGATTTTTTATTTGGATCATGAGACGTGTGTGTGATATATACTCACTGACCATTTTAGTACATGTGAATAAACTGCGAATGACATGGTAACAATTGATACAGGCATTTAATATGAGAAACAAAGGTGCATTTAAGTGACTTTGAATACAATATGGACATTGGTGGATGGCAGCAGATAACTGAATCTGAGGATTTCAAGAACTGCTAATCTACTTTCACTTACAATCAACTTTAGGGGTTGACAGAGAATGCGTCTTCACTAGTTTTATTTTAAATCCATCAAATCAAATAAGAATTCCACAAGATTTATTTTAAAGTTAAAAATTCAAAAACTATTAAAAAAAAAAGTGTTTTTAAAAACTCCATAGCATCTAAATCATTTGGAACAAAGATAAAAATATATCCAAAAATAATTTATTTGCAGAGAAAATTTTAGATACAAACTTTGAGTTTCATAGTTTAAGTAGCAGTTTTATAAGGTGTTAAAAATATAATTTGATTTGCCAAATATGAGAACAATTTCTGGAATAAGATCTTAGTGTCTCCATCAGGAATGAAACAGTATTTATGAAAATAGTTTCTAGTGATAAAAACTGATAAATGAGTTTAAAAATATTAAGGAGTTATGTTATAGCAATGAGTATAAACTATTTCAGGAGGTATTTTTTCACTTTAATATCTTCTGAAGCAATATTTAAAAAATGAGAATACATGTACTCTAAGATGAATTTTGGATTCCTGCATTTTACCTAAAACAAGGCTTTTTTTCTTTTTTTTTCTTTTTAATTATATAGAGATGAAGTCAGATAGGAAGTAAGTCCATTTTTGAACAAAGTTTTTAATTATATTTGCTACTGGAAAAAATATACAGAAAATAAAACAAAGTTTATCAAAAACATGGGAATGCAAAAATTTTCACTAATATTAAAAAAAATTTTGCATATTAAATATTTATTACAAAGTGAAAAAAAAAATCCTATTTAAGGAGTAAGTGATGGAATGGCACTTTTTTTTTTTTTTAAATTATGTTCTTATAAAATGGAGCCTGAATTGGAGTGAAAAATAAAGCCTGACTGACTTAAAAAAAAAAAAAACTCTGAGACTCAAAAGTCTGAAAGTAAGAATATATTAAATTCACTGTACCATAAATTCTAAGGGCCAAAATATCTATGCTGCTTGGCAAGTTTTCAAGAAAGCCTAAACTTTGAATTTTTTTTTGAGGGGAGTTGCAAATTTTTGTCAACTAAGAATCATGTAACTCCTTTTCACAAAGTAAATCATCAGATAAGTATAATCAACTTTATTTTTCATTGTATTGCTAATGGTTTAATCACAAAATAGCAATTTTCCACAGCCTATAACTCTAAAACTACAGAAAATAAAAATGGAAGTGTTATTTCCATGTATTAGTCTATAGGACCATCAAATATCAACTTGAAGTTATGAAGTACCAAAGTTGACAAATTGGGTTATTTTGAAATCATCAAAAATTGACAACAAATCTTAAAAGGCCATAACACCTGAAATAATTTTGGGTTTGTAGTTTTCTAATACACTAAAATTATACCAAAATCTAAGATTTCTAAAGATTTGGTTGTGTGTGTGTGTGTATGTATATATATATATATATATATATATGTGTGTGTGTGTGATTGAGTTAATTTCTATGGCTTAACCCTTTGCAGGTTATTTAAAATCAGAATATATTTTAAGAGTGTAATTTTTTTTTTTTTTTTCTTTCTTTCTTTTAGATAATGGTTTAGTGATACTAATTTTACTAATTAACCCATAGTGGGGAGAAGAGTTGGATTCATACTTTTCCCAAGGGTGTGGGAATTGGAATTATCCATTACACCACCCATACATCCAGACTTACAGCACTTGGTATTCCCAAGTTGTCACCCATCTAGGTACTGACCAAGCTCAATGCTGATTAAATTTGGTGATCATATGGGAACCAGTGTTTCAACATAATGTGGCTGTAAGTCCATATATATATATATATGAGGGGGGCACTGAAAAATTCTTGGCCTGACCAAGTACTTAAAATGAAAAATAGATGATTTTGGGAATTACGTTGGGTTAGACAATTTTCATCACTCCTCGTGTGTGTGTGTGTATATATATATATATATATATTCAGTCATGTGTGGGAAGGATTGTACAATAAAATTCTGAACAACAGTTTCTATTTTGTAAAAAATATATGTATACACCAACAGTTTCCAAGATAAGCATATCCCCCCTGCAAATATTGCTTTTTGATGTAGCAAACTTTGATCATCTTAGCTGTGACACTTGTCATCTTTCTTCTTTATGGACCCCCAAAACAACCAAGAGAATTTTCTCTCACCATAAAAACCAAATTTAAAAAAAAAAAAAAAAAAGACCAGACTCTTTACCCTCTTCTGTCCAACAACCTCCACCTGCAACTTCCTTTTGTAAAAACAGTTTTTATTGATTTAAAATTTTCTAATTTTCACTTTCTTCTATTTTTGACAATTTGTTTTTCTTCAGACGTTCTGTCAGAACAGATTGAAAGAAAAACAAAAAATCTAAGCAGATAATGAAAAGAAAAAAAAAAAACCCACTTCAGTCAATTTCAAAAACAAGAAATCGATCGGAGACAAATGTCTGAAACCAGCGTGCGATAACTATTGTAGCTTTTATTGATCGCTCGTTTTTTAAATTTTGTATAATTGTCAGTTACAGAACACAGCTTTAGAGATGTGACTATATAAGTCAGTCTAAAGTTGGGCAAGCATTCTGTGTATCCTGAGTGTAACAAAAGATTCTTGTCTATTGCACAATTGTGGTTTCATGGCACATTAACTCTTCTACATTGGTCATATATGACCAAAATATTTTTAAAGACATAAGCTAAAGCATTCATTTGCATATCTACTCTTATAACAACCAAATATATGAACAATGTTATTACAGACAAAACATTTCAACTGTGTACCTTCCAACTATCTTCAGGTTTCCATTTTGGCTGTTAGTAGATATCTAGAAATTTATTCTCTCTCTCTCTCTCTCTCTCTCTCTCTTCCCCCCCAAGCAGAAAAATTTCCTTGCATATTCTGGTTTTTTTTTTTTTTTTTTTAATACCCATGTTTGGCATTTTTCTAAGATGGCCTTGGGGTCTTCAACAATTCCCAGTCATCTCTCTGTTACTTTTTAGAAGCCCAAGAGTTTGTGGTCATTAAAAGAAAGAAAAAAGGTACTTAGTTTTGATGTAGCACAAGAATAAATGGAATGAAGTGTTGCACCATTCTTCAAAGAATATCAGCATTCAAATTCCTAGATTTCTATCTGACCTTCCAAAACCACCAGCTAATTCAGCCACCAAGCAAAAATTATATCAGATGTCACAAGGCTCATAGATTAGTGAACAGCCATTTTAAATATTTTGATATAACTTGGTTTTTAATCAGAGGGGAGCTTACAGTGTTTTCATCAACACTCTTCCTTGAGGTTACTCAGTCAACAATGAGTTTGTGTACTGTGTGACCATCACATTCACAATAACAAAACCTGCCTTATTCTTTACATCTCATGGAAGAGTTTCTTTTGGAAAAAAAAAAAAAAATACATCAGCCAGTTCTGTCAGCCTGCCACTCATACAGTTCAGAATTGTTCCTTGCAGTCACTGGCTTTTCCTAAAGTTCAAGTCACTGTGGATGAGATTAAGGAGAATGTGATGGGATAGATGATAATGATCCTGAAAAAGGATTTTGCAGACAGTTTTCTAAAGTAGAAGGGGTGCTGAGATGATTAATTTGTGTTGGAAAATGAAGAGACTTGAAGCAACAGAAATATGGTTCTACAGAAAGATGCTGAGGATACTATGTATCGAACAAGTGAGCAACAATGAAGTTTTAAAGAAAATGGAAGCAAAAGGAAAAACATCAGTTTATATTTCACTCTCCTACACAAAATTTAATTAATAAAAACATAAATCTGATAAAGTACTTTTAAATCAGTATTATCCACATTCAAGGCAGTAAAGCCACTAAGACACAAGTGGTTATAGGGTATGGAAGAATTAGGAACAGAAACATTAATAATGAGCAGGAAGAGGAGTAATCAGGAAGACAGTAGATAATGATTGACATTGCATTTAAATTTTTGCACATTAAAGTTGGCTGGAAAGCATGGAGCCTGATGGGAGTTCCACAAGTAAAAAGTATGAGAATAGAAACTATTAGCATAGAATTTACCATTACATCTAGCCAGCTCAACTGTAAATTAATGAAATCTCGATGCCAGTTTAATACTGCACTTAAATTCAAAAAAATCTAGGTACAATAATGAAGAACTCATCTGAACAATTTATTTATAGAAAAAACAACTTTACAGCAGACTGAAGCCAAGCTGCCAGATCAAGACTAATAATATTGCTGATTCTTTGGATTTTATCAAGGAGCTGAAGGTAAGTCGCAGGGGCAGTGGATCATGTGTGGCAGCAATATTCTAAGCATGGACAAATGGCAGACTTATAGAGTTCTGGAGAGAAAAATTATCTCACACGGCATAATGAAACAACCTTCTTAGCAGCTGACTTTGCAATAGATTTAATGTAGTCTTTCCACTTCATGTTAGCTGTGAACATTAGCCAGAGAAAGTACAATGAGTCAGTTTCCTCGGGGTTAGCATCAGCCATGCTGATGGAAAGCAGAGAGGAGTCTCTCAAGTGATTAATGGAGGAAAGTTTAATTTTGGAGTCATTGAAATTTACAATAATCCATCTTTTGCCTCAGTTAACCATGGACTTGTGGTTGTCGTGGACATCAGTTGCCATTTTGATCAGACTAATCAACCTTAATATCGAGGCATGAGTAAATGGTTATGTCATCTGTGTAGATACTAAGTTGAGAGCTGATGTCATCAGGAAGGTTATTAATGAAAATTAAAAACAGGGTAGGACCAAGGCTGGAGCCATGAGTGATACCCATGTTAGGATCTAGAAGAGTGGTCATTTAGGATAACTCTCATTTCACAATTTGATTGCAAAAATGTGTCTAGAGACACTAGCTTTTCAGCTTGTAGAGAAGACCTGTATGTGAACCCATAGCCATGTCAACTGTCTGTGTGTAAATCTTACCATAATGATTATAAAAAGCTAATTGCGTGATGTAAGATAGAAGTTTACACAAAATTATTTGATATTGGAAGGTGGGGACAAGAAACGGTTATATATGTTTTGTATTACTATCACTATAGGTTCATTGACAAGGACATTGGTAAATAGAGTTTAAATGTTTAACGAGGCCAGGGTTCCATTATTATGTTTATTTGATTGCAGTATTTGAAGAATTTTGTTAGTGTAATTAACACTTTATTTGTTAAATATGATTGGAGTTGTTGATTTAAAACTTTGGATAAGTGATATACAAAGTGGATAGGGATTTGCGAAATTATTGGTTGTATATTTGTGTTTATATATTCCCATCTAAGTAGCAAGGGTAATACTGAAAATTCTGTGTACTTTGATGGACCCAACTTCAGCATTATTGATTGTGATAGGTTTGTTTATTTTCACATTGGAGTTGGTCTTATTTAAAATAACAGAAATATTAGATTTATTACACTTCCAAATTACAATGTTTTTTCTTATTTCTAAGTTTGCTTGACTTCATGCTTTGATTTAAAAATGGATTTAATCGTTATAATTATAACTAAATTTTATGACTTGCCTTAAGTAAGGGTCATAGTCTTGCAGGAGTTGCTATGTTTTTCATGTCTTATAGTTGTAGAATTTTTTTGTATAGAATTCAAATTTTCATTTTTTTTACATTGCAGTCAAAATTCGATTAGAGATGACAGTTCTGTACTCAGTTAAAAATTCTGTCTGTTGCTTGGTAAGTTGGTTAAAGTGTATATCAAAATAATAAAAATACATATAAAATATCTATTCCAGTACTGTAAAGTTCTGTAAAACAATTCTACAAATGATGCCACTTATACCATACATATATTTGAGTTCAAAATGTCACATTAAAAAAAAAAAGAGTCTGGATGGAGCCAACAAAATCTTGTCTACCATACAGACAACTCCCCAGTCCTTGATAATCACTAAGACAGCTGAAAGTATTTGAATGACAGCGTCAACTTTGAATAGTATGGACATGATTTTGATGTACAACAATCAAAAATTGTAAAAATACAATAAAAAAAAATTAGACAAATAGACATTTGTGTGTAGGTAGGTTATACATATATATATATTAAATGTAAAAGAACAAAGAGTAAGATTTCAGCATTCAAAACATTTAAAACAGGGCTCAATAAAAAAGTAGAATAATAAATCTTTATTGCTTATACACTGTTACATTAGAACATGTACATACCAACTACAAAACTGTACATCTTGTTTCAATATTAAAAAATTATTAATGTTTCATCAGGTGGGAAATCACGATGATACTAAAGCTTTTTTTAGTAGCATTGTGATTTCCCACCTGATGAAAAGGTTAATAATTTTTTAACGTTGAAACAAGATGTACAATTTTCTAGTGGGTATGTACATGTTCTAATGTAACAGTGCATGATTAGAGAGAGAGATACAACCACCCACAAAGAATTACTGAAAAATACTTGGCCTATACCACTTCCCAAAATCTGGCCAAATGATTTATCAGATTTTTTTTCATTGGGTGTGGGATATATATATATATATATATATATATATATATATATATAGTGTGTGTATTTATAATGTTATTAAGCTTATCAGACGTTATGAAAAGAATTTACATAAAATAGACAACACTTGTCTATATTATTTAATGAAACATGTATGAATATATATACACAAAGTTTATTAAAGGAAATCAAATTTGCTTATCAATCAACTTAAAGCATCAATGACAAAAACTGCAAGAAATAAGTGATAAATATTTGATTAACAAACAAATGCTGCTAATTATTTACATGTGGACTATTGTCCTTATCTTTGTTGTTATCACAAG